CCCCAAAACCCCAAAACCCCAAAACCCCAAAACCCCTATTAAATGAGAATAGGTTGAATTCAATACAAAAAGAGTCACAATACTATGCAGAAGGAATTTATGGTCTGTGAATTGTAGTCATAAGAGCAAGGATTTTCTCCCTCATTGCCAAATTCAGGAACTGCTCTTCTGATAGTTCTCTTACTGTCTCTAGATAAGTGCTTAAATCAATGGTTTTCTTTCTGTATAACTTCTTGCACTGAGCTAAAGTATCTTCTAGTGCGCCTTCTTTAATCTTTACTTCATCTGTAAGAAGAATTAGATTGATGAAAATTGAGTGAAATTATTAAAAGATCTATTCTAGTGAATTCTGTAATAGGTATTTCCAAATCTTTAGGTGATTTTTGTATTTTTAATGAGTTTTCCTGTTATTAGCTTCAATGAAAATCGATTAATACTAAAAATAAGAAGAAATGATAATATTGCTCGAAACTATTTGGTTGAGTAAAAAGCAGGGTACTAATCTTTCTCTATCTCGTCTTATGTTTAGCAGTATCCAATTTTTCTACCATAAATTAAGAAAGACTTAGCCAGAATAGAACAGGCATCTCTGATATCTTCAAGATCCCTGAAATCATGACCAATCTCTACGGTTTCCTAACTTTCTACAAAAGCCACCATAAAATAACTTGGAGAACTCAAAGAATCATAGATTTTAAAGTATCAGAAATGATTCAGGAATACTAAACTCACATCATTCCCAAAAACTAAGCTCTAATAACTTACCTAGGATGCTCTTGTGGTCTTCCTCCTTGACATCCACGAAATCATCAATATTATCCTACAGTTTAAACACCTGTACATACTTTGGTCACTTCTTTTCCGGCATTTTTAGAGATAAATTCCTTGATCTCTGCATTGTGGGTCTTAACTTCTTGGATTTCATTTTCAAGCATCAGGGTTTGTTTTTGGAGTTTAGTGCTGTTCTCGCCCAGCTCGATCTTTGCATTGGCGATTATGGCGGAGACAGGGTCTGTGTTGTTGCCGCCAGGGAGAGCGCTGGAGAGTTCTTTGTAGGAGAGGAGTTTTTGAGTCGCTTGAGCGACGAGTTCTTCTTTTTCAAGCATTTCAGGAGTCTTTTGAACAGGGGGAGGAGGAGACTTGACTGTAGAGGTTGTTTCGACTGAATGAGTAGTTTCAAGAGGAGCTTTAGATGCGGGAGGAGCGGTCACGTTGTGTACGGTTGATTTTACTGAGTTTACAACAGACGAAGCAGCACTTCCTATTGTGTCCATAATACCTTTTGGCTTAACATTATCGAGAGGAGGGTATAGCTCAAAAGATTTCGAAAGGTTATATCAGAGACCTCCAAGAGTATATGTTGCATTATTACCTACCCATTTGTGAAGATAATTATTCATTACTTCAGAACCTCCTTTAATTAAGGGATTTCCTTCAGCAGACTCTGCACTTAGCTTATAAGCGAGGTATACTTTTGGAGCTGTGCTGGGATAGCCAACAGGGAGAACAATATTTAAAGGAATCGAGTATTGTTTTGATTGATAATTGATTCCAACTGCTCCAGTCAGACAGATTCAGTTTACCTGAACACCATTATCATACTTCATACTTGTCAAAGAGACTTTGAAGTTGGTGTACTGTTTCATGAACAGATATATTTGCTGAAGCACATTGTTCTGATAAGATCCGTAATTGCAACTAACAATGTTAGTATAAATTTGACTATAGATAGGATCTGTTTGTTGCTGGAACATTTTTACCTTTTTAATAAAATATTATCAATTCATCATTTTAAATAGGGGTTTTGGGGTTTTGGGGTTTTGGGGTTTTGGGGTTTTGGGGTTTTGGGGTTTTGGGG